ATTTTGAAACCGCTTGCTACATATTATTTGTGGGGNCTGCATGAAGTTCACCTTCTCCCCCATCTTATTTTTTTTATACCGTGTGGGGAATTGATTTGCGAACATTACAGTGTTAAATTTTTTCAAACAAAAAAGTTCATCTGAAATGTCATTGTATGTACAAAATATACATGAATATTTTTTTAAATTATTTAATCACAAGAATACAGTGCACAGTTCAAATAATATTAAAATGTTAACCAACATAACATGATTTTAAATTAAAATGTTTTAAAACGAATAATTTATTGCTATAATATTATTATGATTAATTGCATTTCTTTAAAATAAAATTAATGTGTTTAGAAATAGAGATAAATTTAAAATAGCAAATTAGTGCATATTAAAATACTAATTTAACAATAACACAAATCTTTCTTATATTTTTTATAGTTCAAAATTTATTTGATAGAAAAGTTATTGTTTGAAGGTGAACCGATTAAGTAATATTCGTTAACTTATAGGATGATGTTATTTTCGACCAATTTTTAAATACGCCATTGAGATTTAATGTAAGCATCTATTGGCTTTTAGTATGATTTTTTTCACTCGTATAAAAATTCATCATTATTATAATACTTGTATTACCGCTATAAGTTATAACTGTGATAACTGTCAGGAACAGAAACACAGTGCGCCAGAAAAAACTTTCACCCGTTTTTGCAGATATTAAAAAATCGTATTTAATTTTCTGCACCGACAATTCCATTATATATAAGACACGAATCATTTTTTTACTCAGAACGCGTTCTTGACATTTCTCATTGTATTATCAATTTTATTTATTTTCATCAAAATAATAAATACATTTTCGACGATGAAATAACTATAATGACAAAAATATGCATAGTATATATTATGTATAATGGTCTATGGTCGTAATGAATTATGAATTATATTTTTATTTTCATGCGTGTTTTATAGGTATTACTGTGATAATATTATAATGTAATAAATTCAATTATTTATAACCAGTCGGTACTGCGTATAACTATGCAGATATATGATTCGTTCGAAGGAGGTATTATTTCCTACGCCCTTTAGTTAGGTTTTCTGTTGTTTTATTAACAAAAATGTTTTTGTTATAGACGCGTGTCTTTTGGAGACGTTGGCCAATGATGAATTTATGTTTCATTCAAACGTGGTTTTTAACGAAATATGACATTTTAAAGCAAAGTTATCGTACCACGTCAGAAACGGTATCGTTTGGTGTGCAGATTATTGAAGCTGGTGCAGTACCTACCCGTTGAGAAATAATGATGTTGCATCAGAAATAATGTATACAATCATTGAACGTATCATCCCAACACATTTGTTCTATTGAATTGAACAAATCGATTAATGTTAGCAAGTCTTAATCAATTCATAAGTGTTGTTATTATATACACTGTGCTCTAATCATATTCCGTGAGATTCTTAACTATCGCTGCTTTTAACTACCGTTCACTTTACCAGCTGACAATATTGTTATTTGGGTTCTTATAATCTTATACGTCTCGACTATAGACAATATAATATTGATATAATATCCTCTCGGTTGCTTAAAAGTTCAAACAGTCACTACGGTCACGTCTGTCTTTGTGTTCAGTGTGAAATGAAACAAAATACAAAAAGTTTTACTAAACGATTAAAAATGTATAATATAAACGAACAAATCCATCATTATAAGTTGGAGGTACTCAATGATGTGTGTCGTCAAAAATCGATTATTTCTATATTATGTGTTCAAATTACAACTACAATTAAATGGCCTGCGGGTAACCTGTTTTTTGCTTAAAAACATGCCTTACAGGAAAGACCCTCACGCCTTGTAGGACGATTCGATTTCGATCATTTTTTTTTTTGAAAGAGAAACACTTCTTACAGGGCTCATTGCTCTTGGATTTTCGAAATCATATTTCTAAACTATGTGGTAGGATTTTGAATACGACAAATTTCCACAAGCTTTTGTTGTTTTTATTAAGTTTCATTTAAACTGCAAATTTAAAAATCAAAGTTTGTTGCGCCCTGTAGAAAATTATCACCTGACTAACGAAATAAAAAATTAATCAAATCTGACCGCTCTACGACGAGTGAGAATTTTTTTGTAAATCGTGTTATGTGCGAAAAATCACGCTTTTTATTGTTGGTCGGCGGTGCCGGTGACATGTGTGGGTGTGCAATGCGTGAGTAGATAGCTGTAGATCTGTATACAATCACACTCACACAAATTATCATTGACGACTTACACTAATGACATGGGCGGCAGAAACGAAATTGCTTATTGCCTAAATATAGTCCCTTAAAAAAGCAGGCCCCTAAATATGATATTATGCTGTTATTATAATTATTATTTCATTATACCGTGATGGTAAAAACCATAGATAAAAAAAAAACAATAATTGTAAAGAATACTGACAGTCTCGTTCTGAATTTATATTTATTCTTAATGTTTAGACATACTTAGAGCAAAATTAATTATTTCAAGTGTGTGGCTACTATTGTTGTAAATGAATCTAAATTCTGCAGTGTCTTCGTAGAAAAAAAAAACGTTGAGAAGCCCTGCAACACGCTATCCGACATAATATTAATATAATACTTTGGAATACCGTTCAAACGCTGCCATTGTATGCTTACAGGTAAAATACACCAAGTCCGTAATTATTGCTCCACCGGGGAAAAGTTGAGCGAAATTTTTGAGTATTAATATTCCATCGAACTTTGCGTATAATAAACAAAACTTATTAATTGACTTTTAAATTGTTTCCATTCACATTTTATTTATGTTTCGAGCGGCGGCTCGTATCCGCGCATCGCCTTATTAAACACTCGAAAGTTTTCAACGGTTGTGTTTATTTTGATTTATATTGATAGTATAATGGACCCGAGTTTTCCCGAACCTAACACGCAGCAGCGTTCAACTGCAATTTACAAAACGTCTGATGGTAGTCTTGTAGCGTAATTTATGTTCAATACGCCTAATAGTTGCAGCGGCGTGTTCGAGAAGGACCTTGTTCTTAACGATTTTTTTGCATTCCTAGAAAAAAATGTTAGTCGAGAATGGGTATATTTCAATAACATACAAAAAACACACCTGTCGGTAACTGTTATTTGGTTTCAAATGTTCTGATGACGAGTTATAAAATATTACATCACTTACTAACAATAGTATAGTTAAGGGGACGTTAATTATAATATTATTAATGAAAATAAACTTTAGAAAATCTAAAATTGATCATGCCTAAACGAGCTCAAAAATGGCCGAAATATTTTTTTTTAATTAAACCATGATTTTACAAGCATTTGGTCAAGTATTTATGGTTATTCCATATTCGTAAATAAGTTTATGAATCAAAACAAAATAAAAAAATCGGTTTTGTTAAAAACTGGTTTGGGAACGAATCCTTTTTTTTTCTATTTTTTTGTTTACTTTCATTTTTAAGCAGATTACTAGGATTTTTCACTTTTAACCTGTAATCAAAGTGGTTTACTTTCCTACCAAGAGCTGAAAATCAGACCATTTTTTCTAATATAAAAACTGTGACCTTTAGACACCAAAAAACACGCATCATTTGAAAATCATTACATCGAAAACATCGACATATATACCCATTATAGTATTATTATCACGAAGATCACGCCACATTGTAGCACATCTTTTTATAAATAATATATTTTCACCATAATATTATCACGAAATATACTATAATATTTCTTAATGACTATTCGGTGTGTTTATCATCAATCATTTTATCTGATTTTATTTATGTAATTTTGTATACAGAGTGATTTGCCCACCATTTTCATCTATTTTAACCTTTAATAATTAGTTTATTCAAATATTATGTAATGTTTATTCTTTTAGTAGATAGGTATACTTAAAAATTTCGAAAATCACAATTTACATACCTACCTACTTCTTATCATTGTTGTATGCATTAAACTTTAACAATTAAGTTGATTGTCCAACGTGCCAGTAACATGTAACCTAAATATGAATGTCGGTCATCAAGCACGGACCCTGAGCAAAGATCTGGGGGGGGGGAGGGGGAGTCGAAGTCATTAGCGACAATGCTACATTTTGTTTAGAATTTAAATTAATTTAATCTTTTTCTTATTATTATTGATTTGAGTTTCTATGGTAAAGCGTTAAAAAAAAGTTATAACCTGACCGAAAACATATCAACTTAAATATAATTGATTCGATTAAACGTATATCTGATTGCTGCACAATAATATGATTTATCTTATCGAGGTTTTTTTCAATCTTCTAAGTTATTATTGTTGATATTAAACTGATCAACATTTTTTGAAAATAAAATAATGGTTTTTTACCATCTTTTTACCGAGAACACGTGTATGTGAACAACCAATATTCGCCTCTCCGTTATTTAAATCGACTTTTGAAAACCACTACATAAACAAAAATTGAATTTGCTAATTTTCGGCGGTCTAAGTATTTTTATTATATTTATAGTTAGGTTTGAGTATGCAAAAAATGTCAGTGGAATAGGACTACGGTTCTGGTTAACGTATGTCTTATGATTTTGGAGACATTTGTTCTATGACATTTACAAGTCATACTAGATAGGTACATAATTTATTTAATTTTATTCGTTTATTTAATTTAAATTTGATGCAATGAATAAACTAATAAAGGTATTATTTTGAAGTTATTGTTCGGACGAGTAGCTGATGAGTTTGAAAAAATGATGTAATGTTTAATATATATATCTTGTTATACTCAAAGAACATTAAATAAGTTTGTTTGAAAAAGTTAAGAACCTCTAGTTAGGTACTTAAAAACTACCAAAATTTTAATTTGAATACATCCTTTATTAAACGAAAAAAAATTTGAGTGTTGGTAAATTACCGAGTATAAAAAAAATCATTATCAATATCATACGATTCGGAAGCTATTAATACACATATTTTATACTTTTGATATGATTTACATGATTGATAAACAAACTGCAATCGTCATAATATTTTAATGATCACGCCACACGCCACCTTCCCCCTTTCTACTGGCTGACGAAAAAGTATATAAGGCGCCCGAGATCACGATTCCGGCATAACACATTTTTTGTGCAGATCTATTCTTTGGTGAGTACTAAAAGACAACAACAGTTTAATTTTGATTTCAAATCAATAATTTTTTTTTTTTCACTTGCAGTTTTCACTTTATTTCACAAACAAAAACCAACAAATCAAAAATGGGCGCTGAAAAAGTAACCATGAACATCGTCGTCGTCGGACAGGTCCAATCTGCCAAGGCCATCAAATCGGTCGCCAAAGCCACCCCAGCCACCAGCCAATTGATGGTGAGTTCATAGTATAATGTAGGTCATTTTATACGAATTTGAAAGGATGGTTTTTGTTCGATTTTAATGAATATGTTTGGAAAGACAGCAATTTATATTATAATATTATAGTTATTATACTGAATTTGTTTGACTGAATCCGATACATTAAGTTACTGGAAATGTTTTCACGGTTGCTTTTATCATACCATTGTTTTAATTTATTCAATTAAAACAAAACAAAAATATCACTTAAAAAAAAATATTTTTCATATGAACGTTGAGTTCTTTTATCAAACATTAAAGTTAGATTACGTCAAATCATTGGCTTTAAATGTATAATATTTATTTTTTAAATAAGTATATTAATTAATGGTGATAAACTTATAAAAGTTAAAATATATATATGATAGATATCGCAATTATAAATTATTTTTTTTGTTTTTTGTTATTGATCACAAAAAGTAACATTGACAACAAAGGCGATTAGTTACAAGAAAGTTGTATGATTGGTGATGGTTAGCTACAAAGATGAGCTTTATCATTTGGTTACATTTTTTTTGCGTGTATAAGATTGAACAATTTTGTTTGTTTCATAAATATTAATTTTAATTCAAATCTTCAAATATACCTTTCAAAATATTAATTAACAATTATTTTAATCATTTTGCTTTTTAATTTTAAACGGTTTTGCGTTAGGTATGTTATAATACAATAATGGTAGTTTAAACTTTAAATGTTTCTTCTTAGTGTAACTTTATTTTAGTATCATTGTAATCCTTTATAGGTACTGATATTACAAAATAGGTACCTACATATTTTATGTTTCATGATATTTATTGTACTTTTTTGTTCCTTAATCTGTTGAAAAAATATTAAATTAATGATAAATTATTTTAATATTTTATTATAATTTTAATTCATTAGTTATTTAGTTATTTATTTTGTTCGATGTCATGTTTTTTTAGTGTAATTAAAAAGATAATAAAAGTTTAAAATTTTTGAATACAAATTAATGATCAATAGAATTTATTTTTATTTTTTGTTTTGTTTCAGAACTGTTAATTTATGTAGTCCATCCATCACAAACTCAAAAATGCCATAGCCCGAACAGTACTATTATATTGTAATAATTCATATGAGTATTGACACCGCAAAATAAATCAGATATTTCCGATGTACATTACTGTTTAGTCTTATTTTTTTTAAGTCTTTACCTGCTTAATTATCCTGCTTCTATGAATTTTTTTTTGATAACGAGAGAGTGTATCGTCCGATGATAAGTTGGCTATCGTTATTTACATAAGTCTGAATTTTAAATCGTAATCAATTACCCAAGTACATTACTACATTAGCTGAGAGACGGAATGCTTTTGTATCGGTTACAAAACTGTTTGGTGATAAAAATGCAGTTGGCTACACATGGTCTAGAGTCTGGTCCCAAAATGCAGGAAAAATTCAAAAAATTTTCGGAAAGACCAGTTTTTTCCCAGAGCTTCGGAATATATGAAGAAATTGGAGATTATTAAAATAACACCTTTCCGATAAAAACATACATTTTCGGTAAATAAAACAAAACCAAAGTTTTTGTAAAATCGATTTTAGGTTTAAAATAATCTAAGTAGATAATAAAAACTCAAATAGGAAAAAAAATAAAGAAACCACTCATAGTAATTCTTCGTTTGTCGATACAGCGTAAGTATCATTGTTAAGATTGTTTATTATTAACACTATTAATATGTATATTTCAATATATTTTGTTCTAAAAATAACGTTACCTATTAATATTTATGTAGGTGAGTGAATTTTCTAGAAACAGCTTTAATTATTATAATAATCAACGATCATTATTTATTTGATTGTTTCCATTTTACAAGACTTTTTCAAATTTTAAATTGACAATAACCATTTTTTCCCCATTATTCTGAAAGAAACCGTAAGAACATGGTTTTTCCAGAGAAACATTTTTTATTACGTCATTATCGTTTGTGAGCCGAATCGCCAATAAATCGGTAAATCATTGTCGATTAGTCCGGAAATCTATCGGAACCCTAATACCCTGTTATATCCATAAGAACAGCGACCGCCGACATAAGCGATATTATGCGGCGGTCGGCGAACCTTATTGTTGGAAGAATAAAAATTCGATGAATTTTCCATGCTAATGATTGTGATGATTTCGATTACGATAGTACCAGACATGTCTTTTCTGATTAAATACGAATAATAGGTACGCGAGTACACTAAACAATATGTACCTATATCGTATGAAATAATAATATATTAATATCTGAGCGTATAACGTTCGCCACCGCGATGATGATATAATAACATAGTAATAATGAAATGCACCACGCCGTATGTGTGTGTGTGTGTGTGTGTGTGTGTGTGTGCACGAGAAAGAGAGCAACCACGTGTTTGCACGTTATGGATGCACGCGTGTGGCTGAACATGGACCGAAAGACACTGGGCACTCAGACAGACAGACAGAGAGTCTATTTAATATTATATTATTATTTCAATACGGTCGTTGTTGTAATCCTCTAGTGCATTATGAATTATAATACATGTGATACACATTACATATATGTCATATGTGTTTAGTATATTATTAAATTCAACGCGGGAACGTATATTTTGTGCGACCAAATTTTATCGTCTACATATGAGTGTGTGAGTGTGAGCAGCGAAGCGCCACACGGCCGTACAACGGCATCGCATAATAATATGCCTCCACGCCGCCGCCAAAATCGAATAAATCGTCTGCAGGGTGAATCGCCTAGCAGCCCACACCCCCGACATGGATATCGTATCATGTTTTTGTTGCTGGTAAACACACTTTGTTGATTTCGTCGTCTATTTCGAGTGACGGAGCCATAAAAAAAAAAAAATAAAACATTTAGGATTTTGTCCTTGCAGTTTATAGGCGTCCACCGCGAGATTATAATATATTATACGAATGAAATCGATGGAAAATATGTCGGGTGCTGCATTCGGGCAGGACACAATATTTCGGACGAGCAGGATACTGAACTCGTTACGAATTCTATAAGTTCTCATAAAGTGAGCTAAAATGGGTAAAGTCAAACTGTCAGTGCTGTCCTGCGCTATTAGCGATTATAATAGTCGAACTACTGAAACATTATCCCTGTAAATTGATGATTGGGTAATTTATTCTCAACAAAATATTTTGTGCACTGCAATATATTTTTGTGCATCCGAAGATAAAGATTAAAAATCTTAACAACCGAATTGCCGAATTGCGTCCTCATTGCGTGTGCCATTAATGATAACAGATAACTAATGTAACATCATTGGCGCTTACTTTATCGTGTATTTTAATCTTGATGAAATTGTGTGATACGAACATAATATTATTACTGTCGTAGAATCGTATAAAAAAAAAAATAGGAAACTGGAAAAGCAATAGCCAAAACAAATCTCGTAAGGTATTTAATGTACTCGTTTTAAATCAACCAAATAACATGACTTGACGTTTGCATATAACCATCGCATGCTAATATATTACATACAATATTATAATGATGTCTAAGATTTTTAGCCACAACTGATAATCTTTGTTGGCATACAACCCTGACTCTTAAGTCTAAAAAAGTGTAAAGAGAAATTGTTCGCAATTCGGTCGTTAATTTTACAAGCCAAAGCTGTGATAAGCCAGTTGAACCGATAAAAAAAAATACACACCAAATTCGAATCAAATTTAAGTTTTGTCACACTGTTTGGATATGCAGTTGTATAATATCAGATATAATTAGATTAATATGTATTGGATATGTTTGTCAGTTTGCCTCCGACATACAATTGCTCGATTTATCTCATAATATAATATTATATACCCATAACCATGCAAATAATATTTTTATTCAATATAATATAGTTACTAATATAGGTACCTATTTATATACTCATTAAACAATATCATATTAACTACTGATCATTATCCATAGTAAAACACCGCTATAATATGATTCTCCGCTTCTTGATGTAAACATTTTCAAACACATGTTTACATCAATTCATTATTTGTTTTTAATTAAGCGTTAATATACAGTACTATGTCCGTACCTATCAGTGTAAAATATGAATAGCAGTTAAAACTCGGTCACGTCTAATCGAGTTTCATAGTTTGTTGAACTTCAGCATTCGTCTATGCTTGAATACATTATTAACACACTGCCATTCGATAAGCATGATATTACTTAGTGTCAAGGTGATGATCACACTCTGAAGGCTAATTGGTGTTTAAAAAACGTCTGCGCACTGTACAAGAATCGAATATGTTGGACTGATATAATAATAATATTATTATTATCATCGTTTATTAATGCAGTCCAAGCGTAGCCATGATTGAGCTGGGCCAAGAGTTGGCGAGTTACACGTATAATTATACCCTTAACATCGCTTTGTTCTTAGGTTGATGCTCATGAAAAAGTGAAAACAGAAATTGATATAATATTATATAACCATAGGCAGGTAAGTTTAGTGCACGAATATTTTGCGAAAAAAATAATTAATGAATTTGGTGGAAACGGGGAAAAACGTAGGTAAGGTCATAATATTATATTTAATTAAATATCCATAATGACTTACATAAGTACTTCGATCAAATTATATCATACAATATTAATATATTATTATTAAAAAAAACAAAAAATATTGATCCAGAAAACAATACACTTACACGAAATAATCGTCGAGTACCAGTAGTATACATAGTTTATTATAAAACTGTTGAAAAACAAAACCGTTGGTTTTTAATAATTAAAAAATAAAATAAAGGTCAAGTATATGTAGCAATACGTGTAATGTGCCAAGTCAGAGTGGTACGAAAAGGCTTGACCTGTTATAAGTTCTACCCCCCCCCCTACCATTTCACTGCAGGATTTTCAACGCATACTCGGGCAATTATATTTTATTGTAGTTATTTTATTCAATGATAAATTATTATTTTATATTATTTTCACGCGTTGTGTACGGAAGACTCGTGTTTATAAGTTCATAGATGGAATCTGTTTGAAGATCTGATTGGAACATGGACCAATATCTGATACTTTGATGCACACTTTTTTGGTGAAAAATGGTGTTTCGAGTAGATACGACACTACTATTATACAGTATTAAGTATACTAAGCATCAGTGATAATTATTATCAAATTCAACAACGAACATCAGCTAAATATTAAATGTTAATGTTTCTGCTGAACACATTTAGTCTAATCTAATATTTCTATACATTCGCAATTTACCTGTAACATCTTTTCGAACGACTACCCATATATTTTTCATAATATACTATTGATAATACTAAAATATAATAAATGATTAAAAATAATCATGAACCTGTAGGATGGAAAATTAATAAAATAAAGATCAAAAAAATACACCAAACATTTATGTTAAACGGAAATGACTGGTTTATTTTGCGGTGTCAATACTCATATTAATGACATATTATTGTATTGCTTAGGCTATGGCATTTTTGAGTTTTGCAATGTATGGACTACATGAATTAACAGTTCTGTAACAAAACAAAAAAAAAAAAAAATAAAATGTATATTTTAATAAAAAAATAATTTATCCTGAATTTATTTCAATACCATTAAAGTACAGTAAAAAATATTATGAGAGCATAATACTACTCGTATTCATACATTTCCAACAACTATTATAATATTTTATAGTTCATCGAAAAAAATGTTGATAAATTAAAAAATATAAACATAAATCTGAATTTATATAGAACACTGAACATTAACTAGGTAAAACTATAAGATAATATTATTGAAGAGCATTATACGATTAAAATAATGTTGTTTAATTATACTTATATAAATCTTCCTAAGCAGAAAATTTCTTATTAAATATTCAATTATTATGTCAAGTTAATACGAAACAAATTTAAATTATTTAGGTAACTACCTATACGTAAAGCAAAACAATGGTCACGTCATCAAGACTTTTTTCTTTAATAAAAAAATAAAAAAAAAATAATATGAAACCACTTATAATAATTATTGATATAGTTAATCATTATAAGTTGAATATTTTGTAAACAAAATGAGGGTACCTTCAAATAACATCTGAATGATAATTGTGTGATCACGTAATTCAAATTTAGTTTATTAGTTTAACTATTAAATAGAAATACTTAATCGTTGTACG